AAATATCTATTATGACAAATCTTTATAGACATAATCTTTATTATTTTTTATAATCTTTATTATGACAAATCTTTATACACATTATTAATAAAGTGCATTAATTTTGTGGACACAATGCATTAAATAAGCCTACGCATATAATTTCAAATTTGACATTTGAAACACCAGGTAATGCAGTGGAATCGTGTGTAGCCTATATTAATCAATTCAAAGAGTAACATATAATGATGTTCCTTCTGAATTAGCTTAGTGGATAAAATGCATTAATACTATTATAGTGGGGCCTTGAAGTAAAATGTCTTTTGTACGTTGCTGTTTGTTGATAATAATATTCACCCTTTAACCTAGGTGTAACTTTGAACTCTGGGATTTTGTTTTCGCAGTCATTAAGCCTAAAGAAATAGACTGAATTCGATAGCAAATAACTCCATACTGTTTGAATTACAATTTTTTGTGCTAAACGGGTCTATAGTTTATGTGTTTTTGCCAAGAAAGACAAATTTCATGTTCTACAATGTATGAGGTGACGAAATAAATAGAATCTGAATCTAGTAATAATATATAGCATAGGCCTATCAAATATTTAATTAATGTATTTCCTTCGTGCAGTATACTTTATATAGCTATTAAATTACTTACGTTTGGAGTCTAGTAGAATGTTATTTTTGTTTAACGAGGTATTATGTATTAGATGTAATTCCATGCAAAATTCCTTTATATATCCCACAGGCCTAATTGTGGAAAGTAAGGATTTAGCGTGATATTCAACACAATTTACTATTGCAGGTAGAGATATCGGCATTTTATGATAAGTGCATTTATGAATTTTCTATACTAGGCCCATTACCGATTTCAGAATTCTGGTGAGATAATGACATTTACCTTAGGTAAAACGTGTGGGCGAAATGCAAATTCCAAGTATTAGAGCCGCTGTCTCCAGTTCTTGTTACCGTATCTAATCATAACCAATCAATCTCTCATTCAGTGGGTGTTAATTTTGGTCATAAACTACATTAATATAAAAATGTGTTCTATTTCATGTGATTCTTCAAAACATTACTTTTAATAGAGCAAGAACAAATTATTTGTTTACATTATACAATCATATGAGGATAGGGAGCTTTCGATTTGCAACGACGTAGAACGTAATGACGTCATATGAATTTAAATGCGCATGTATGAACGCTGTGCGTTACGTTCTCTTTTGAAATCTGGAACGGTTGTCGGCCGAATCTACGTCATCGGTACGTCGTCTACTTTTTTGTGTCCGTGACATATCCGCGCACGAGTCGTAAGAAATAAAAATTATGACGACAGTCACTGATGAGTAAATCCGGTCTACGTCCCCGTTGTACGTTCTCAATCGAAAGCTCCGTAATGTTGCCTGTCAAACTCAAGAGGCAGTGCTTAATCATACTTTTGCTGATGACGAAGTACACATCCATTATTCGAGTATCATTGTCCGAATTCCAACAGGCATACGGCCAGGGGTACGTACGCAAATATCTACCCCATCCCCTGTATACGAATCTGGATATATATACGGCCTCTTAACGCTTCCACTGCTCTAACGTTGTTTCGCTTTCAGACAAAAATCTGAGAGGCATATCAAATAAATGAATTTGGCGCCTGTGCTTGATTTTCATGAATACCGTACATACGGTACTAATTATAACAATTAGGCCGATATTTCGTCCTCCTACTTCAGTTCCTGAAAATTATTACAGCAATTACTATCATGAGATCTATTGTGGTAGGTAGGGATATATACGGCATATATACATATACATATATATAGCCTATATTGAATATATCTCTTATACACATCTAGATGTGTATAAGAGACAGCATTTCGTGTGCACTTTAAAGAACCCGGTACATCATTCGAGAAGAGTAGGGGGCTGTCTCTTATACACATCTAGATGTGTATAAGAGTATATATATATATATATATATATATATATATATATATATAATCAAACAAGTACTTTGATTTATGCGTTTTATTACTAGGCCTATATATATATATATATATAATATATATATACATGTACAATATATGTATATATATATATATATATATATATTCTTTTTTCTCCATTTTCCTTATAATTCTTTTTTAAATAGGGGGTGGTGGGCAGGGCCGGCTGGGCCCCCTTGAATTCGTCACTGCAGTGCTGTGTTCCAATCTTGAATTCTCTTCGGTCGCTCGACTACCTCTTCTGATATTCAGTGACGTGTTTGCATGGTCCGACTGTCGTGATGTCAGAAGGTCTCATGAACTTCTCACTTCTAGGACAATTGCTTTATCACTTCCATCTGAGCATCTCACTGTTTGAGGGATGTTAGGGGACTTGAGGTTCGTGTTTCAATCTGAACTTTATGTGACTCGAAACATTATATTTAAAAAATAGTTAAACAGGTTGAGGAACGTGATGTGGTTTATTAAGTAGAAAGCCGAATTTACGTAATGAAAGTTCCGGTTGGTTGATGTTTACCATGTTAGTGATCGTATAATGCGATTTTCACTGATACATTTATATGTGATTAAAATAGGCATATCGATTGATTGACTATTGATTGATTATTTGTTTGATTGAATAATTGATCTAAACTTTATGTGACTTGTTTTTATATTTTATATTAAAAAAAACCATTATATTTAGAAATAGTTGAACAGGTTGAGGAACGTGATGTAGTTTATTATATGGAAAGCCGAATTTACGTAATGATAGTTTTGGTTGGTTGATGTTTACCATTTTTACTGATACATTTATATGTGATTGAAATAGGCATATTGGTTGATTGACTATTGATTGATTATTTGTTTGATTGAGTAATTGATCAATTGAATAATTGATTAATGGAAATATTTATGGTGGTGGGTTCTGGTGAAAATATGGTAATGGCGGTAACGTTGGTGTAGTGATCAATATGATAATGAGGAGGGGGATGAGGTTGATGATGATGATAATAATGATAATAATGATGATGATGATGATGATGATGATGATGATGATGATGATGATGATGATGATGATGAGATGACTTTGTTGGTGGAGGGAATCGAAGTACTGGAGTAGAGATGGTGATGGGTGGACGGTGACAGATTATGATCATGGTGATAGTGTTTGTGGATGCTGTACCTGGTGAGGTGGTGACGACCAGTGGCGTATAAATGGTGTCAATGGGCGAGAAAGTGTTGGAGTCAGTGTTCCACTGAAATGAATGGTGATTTTGCAGATACCATACCTATATAGCTAGCTCCTCCCAACGAATATTAAGGCCAAACGGCTGCATATTGGGCAATGTCAATTCAAATCATTTTGTGTACGTTGTGACCATTCAACAAGTTAAATAACCTTTTAACTTTTCTTTCTTTTTTTTTCTTTTTTTACTTGTTTTTTAAATACAATTTGCGTCGATTTTAAATGTATATATCGTCATTTTAGCGTGCATCGATACATACTAATGTATATACGGCACTGTAGCTGCTTTTGCACTTTGAACAAATCATTGCACTTTGTATTACTGTATCTGTCACACGTTGTCCGAGTCAAAAGTATGCACTTGTTATCACCTGGAAACCTGTCTTTTGATCAATGCCGCATTTGTCAATATTAACGCCTGTCTGTAAATACTTAAGCATCTTTATGCGAATCGTACGATATCTATGAAAGAAGATACTTGAGATGTAGGCCTGTGGCGATATTTGATTTAAATTCTTCTGTTAAATGTGAAGTCGGGTACACACCTTTTTGAAGACTATTTCTTCTTCTTCCATTAATGGACAAACTTTAATGCCGAAGATTTCTGCACATCTAGCCCAAATATGATTTGCAACACAACAGTTTGGATGTGTGGCTTTTCTTATTAATTTATAAGATTTTATTTTAAAAATTGAAAATGTTTAATAATTAATTTAAAATGATGTGTGGCTTTTCTTATTAATTTATAAAATTTTATTTTAAAAATTGAAAATGTTTAATAATTAATTTAAAATGAAATTTTAGCATATTTTCCGTAACCCAGGATGGGAGCTTTCAAGTATTCCTTCCGGGTAGGAGGGATCGTGAAACTCATCAAGGTGCTTACTTACATAGACCACACTTTGCCTATTGTAAAGCGTGTCTATTAATTTCCCTTTCTACCAGCCAGACTAATTAAACTATATAGCCTAACTACATTTGATCTGAAATTGCGAAATTTATAAGAGTTACAGGAGCTCCTTTCGCAACAGTGGTTGTTCACTTAGCCTAGTATCACCAAAGTTTGTTACACTAAGCGACGAGTCAATACCAGGCTTTAACCACCAGTTGAGCTCACACACCCAAGGTGGACGAGAGGTGGGTTTGTGAAGGAAATGTCTTTGAACGAAAGTAAGATAAAATAAGATAAGATTTATTGGTTCTCTCTTTTATAACAGAGGAACACTCTCGCGCAGGAGAGGTTCGACCCGTACAGTAAATGTTTGAATTTTAAAATTGAAACGCCTGTATCATTCATGTAGGTATAAGCGCCTCTTTATGGAGGCTATGTATAGTCAAAGACCACGCCCATACGCATTTTAGCACATGGACTTGGCGAGTTATGGGTTATTATCCTACCTTTGCCGTTATT